TTGAGCCAACTGGACAGCCCAAAGCTGCGGAATGCGACTGCTCATTCAAAAGCTTCCGGCGTTGAAACAAAAGCTCAAAACCAGTGCTCATGGAAGTGCTCTGCTTGGTGACATGGACATCAACTGCTGAGACATGACAAGAATCACTCTCGTTGACAGCAAGCTCAAACCAATCACCACTGGGTCCTCCAACCTGTAGCTGCATGCCAGCGGTGAAGGTCTCTGGAGCCTGAGAGCCGATGGAAGGCTGACCGAACAGGTACTGACCGATGTCGACCATGAAGTGACCCTTGGTGTTCTTGGACATGATGAAGGGTTCAGCTGAAGGGTCCATACCAAACACTGCATGACCATCTTGGAAATCCAGAATCAGGCCGACCTTGGTGAGGAAATCCATACCGACAAGAATTGGGACCAGCATATAGTCTTTGAAGGACTTCTGGTAATACTCCGTGGGATTCGGCAGGGCAAACACCTCAAAGGACTTGGTGGGGTTCGTGGGGTCGCTGATGGAGGCAAAGTACATGGCCTGTCCCCAACGACCTGAACCATACCTGAAAAAGGGTCTTCGTTCCACATCGATGGTGACCTTCAACTGTGGATCACTTTCACGCAGCTTGGCGATCAACTTTTTGACAGAAGCTTCAGGTCCAGCCGAGGCCGTAGCCCCGCAATCCAACATGCCAAATCCTTCAGGGATGGCTCGAGGAGCTGGAGTCTCATTGGAGGTGTAGAGCTCCAAGGGAACTGCTTCCATCGTCTCATGGAACTCAAGCGTGTGGAGCTCCATCATGCTAAAATCCATCCCACCATAGTCCATGCCATAGACATTGACGGTGGAACGAAGCTTTCCGCCCTTGCCAGCATTCTTGTTCTTGCCCTTCTGGGTGTACATCACATCCCAAGGCGCCATGTAGGAATCGTCCCATGAGGACATCATTTGATCCTTCCCTTTTCGCACGCCTTTCCCCTTGCCCTTGAAGAGGTAGGCGTCCAGCTCAGCTGGACTCAACTGCTTTCCACCACCCTTGCGGTACTGTGGATGTTGACGGTCAGGACAATCACGAGCAAAATGAGGACCTGAACAAATGTGACAACGGATGTTTCCCTTGCCACCTTTGGAGGATGAGGTTCCAGCAAACTGTCCAAAACCACGGTCACGTCGAAGGGCTGTTGTAGCCTGCTGAGCTTGCGACCAGGTTCGACGAGCTTCAACTGCCAAAGCCTCTGCGGCCTTCTCAGCCTCCAAAGCTTCTTGGAGTTCAGGATCATCATCAGTGGTTGCAGTGTTATCCACTGGGTCGTTGGCAGCTTGAGGCCACGCACCAAATTGGTCCATGGAGTGCCAATCTGACTCATGCCAATCCTCAGTGTCCCACGAGGACTCGTGCCACGCAGCATTATACCAAGGATCTGCGGTCTCAACCCAATGTTGTTGCAACACTGTACCTTTGGAGGCTCCATGATGATGATTGAGCTGTTCATCCCATAGGGTCTGAAGAGCCTCAGCGATGGCCGGGTAGTCGAGCTTGTTGCCAGTGCTAGCTAGGATGTCTCTCCATTCATCATTTGTAAGGCTTGCTGCAACAAGTAGTCTCCAGCCACGCAAAACATCTAATATAAAAGAATCCATAGGACCCAAACCATCAATCATCCTCTGTTGCTCTGTCTTGCGGGAAGGGCTCCTTTGTGTTTGACGAGTCCGGTTCGGCGACCCCGCCGGTGAGTGAGGAGCTGCTTCCTCACCTGCATCGGATGTTTGAGGAACTGCTGCATAACCCTCATGGTCATCAACTGTTTGCTCAACCTGCTCTTCAAAAGGGGTTTCCTCCCAATCACGCCAGCGTTGATCTCGATGCCAAGGGTTGTAATAGCGTTCACCTTTGTCTGAGGTCTCGGAGGTGGTGATCTCAGGCAACTCAAACAAACGATCTGCAGGGGAGATTCCATCTTTCTCCTCTTTGAGTTGTAGCAAGGCCTCCTGGAATTCCTCAAAACCTAATGTTTCCCTCGCCAGGAATTGTGCAATGCTTTCTCCAGGCCGTCGTTGGAACATGAAATAGGATGACATCGTCGCAGCCGCATTGGGAAGGCTGCGCCTCACCAAAGGGGAGGAGGCGAACCGCCTCAACATGACTTGAACTCCTTCTTCACCTTCAAAATCCCTTTGGTGCCAGGACATGGAAAGGAGGCGAGCGGCACCCGACAACCGACTGATCAGTTTGGCAGCGACGTACTTCCGTTGGGAACTCTTCGTTCCAGAAAGATACCATCCAACTTCTTTGCAATAGCGGCGCCAAGTCTTCGAGGAACCGTCCCAGCTAGGCACCTCATTTAACCGATCCTTGACGTCCGCCATGACCCCGGAGCTAACTCTGCTCCGCTACCAGTGCAGTTGGTGTGCACTGGTAGCATGTACAACCAATGTAGCAACACAACCAGCAACAAAAGGGTGTACCTCAATGCTCAATGTAGTGCAAACCAATGGATATGCCGACTCAACAGCACACGACCGATCGTCCACCAAGTGCGGACCTTTTCTCACTCCATGGCAGCCACGTGAAGGCTAAACAAGGGGCCCCTTCATTGGGCCGAGAGGTGACCGGTTGACCGGAGCATGAACTCACATGTGTCCTCATGTTCGTGACTCTCAAGTTCATGAACTGCACGGTCCTTAGAGTGCAGCACCAAGGTCTTCATGATGTCCCAGAACTTTTTCCTCCTGCCATTTGGCGCCTTCGCACTAATGTGGTTCGCCTTGGCTGGAGCTCTGTACCCGATGCTTACCTGCAATGAAGAAAGTGCCTGGGCCCGGAATTCTGGTTTCCCTCTCCCAGAAAGCGAGACGGAAAAGGACAAACCACCTCACCACCGGTCAAACATGTAGATGGTTGCCTGTGCTCTGACATACTGACATCAGCGCAGCAGGTGTTGCAGAGTCTTTGTTCTTTGCGTTGGCTTTGACACTCAGCATGTGGCTCCTGTCCTCGATCAGTTGGCTGGACTTCCTGGCAGCACAGTGGCTGGAAGGCTTTGTAGCTTTGTGCCACTGCATCCCGGCAAGTTTCATTTTCTGCCATGTCCCCTAATTTAGGCCACGGGTTGTAGGCCGAGGTAGCTAGTAGTAGAGAGCTAGCTACTACTGTAGCTTACTTAAGCTACTAGCATGGACGCAGGATAGCTCACGCTTGGTTACCAGATTATTTGGGAAACTTAACACTCTGACCTTCCATCCTTCTGCCATTCCTGTTCAATCACAGACCAGTTGCAGGTAACGCTCACCCAGCGGCACTGCTTCTCGTATTGACTTGCGCCTATGTTGCCCTATTGCAGGCGCTCTGGCGTAAACATTATGTGGACGACTTTGACATGACGACAGAACTGCCGACGCAAGCTGTTCTTTGTATAGGAAGCTTTCCGACTTTTCTGTGTCAAGACTTGATTTTAAAAAATAGCACAGGGTGGCCCAAGTCTATGGCCAAGTGTTTGAAAGTGTGTCAGTGTTCAATGTCTTTCAATGTATCGTGCGCCGCTTTGTGCCAGTCAAGGCAAGTTTTTCACTCGATCATGATGTGTGCATTTACATGGGACTTCACTCAGCGTGCGAAGGCTATTCCCGACACGATTCAGCATGCAGGTGCTAACATTTGGGAAAGTCGGCTGGCTGGACGTTCTGCTCGGGGTTTTTGCTGGCTTGCTGGGCTGAACAGCTGGGTGCTATGGATTGCAGTCGTCCATGCCAAGGAAGCCGAGGAGACTCAGACCATGTTTTACAAGGAGTTCTACCGAAATAGCTTGCCTTGGGGAACGTGGGTGGCGCCACCATTAGCCCTCACACTCTTTGTCCTGGGGACCTGGCGGAAGTGCACCGCATTGCAAGCGGACTTTGCTTTTTCACTGTTTTGCTCCTTGCCTCCGGTACTTCTGACACTTGACTTCATTTTGGTCTTGGCATCCCCGGAGGTTCGTCAAAGTCAATTTAGCGCTCGCTATGACATGTTTGTATGGTCCTTCGTGCCACTCTGCACAGCTGCAAGCATAATGGCCATACAGACATTGGCGCAAGCAGGGTGCCATCCCCTTCCGTGTGCACTTGCCACCATTCTTGTGACTTGTAGTTATTTCCCCTTGTGTGTTGCCAGCTTTGGCTTTCTCTACCTGACGAAATTGTATTTGGTCCGGCGCTTCACCCTTGTTTGGCTGATCCTGCTGAGCCACTCCCTGGACTACATGGCGCGCATCCGAGGGATCCGAGACATCGATGCGGTCGAGGGAGTAGAACTGGGAGCATCAGGATGAGTGAATGCCTTATTCCTAGTAGCTTCTTGCTCCCAGCGATGGCCTCCAACCTAGGGACCTAGTAGAAAATATGAGAAGCTGAGTTCTTGGAACACAATCTCAAGCTTCAAGCGAGCCCAAAGTGGATTGCTTGAGAATAATTGCATAATTGATAGTGATAGGATATTTTTTTAAGTTATAAAACAGCTCGCTGGACATTGCCAGTGCCTCGATCTACCAAGCCTCAGTCTCGGGGTCTCCAATGTTTGACTGACTAGTGGCCCCAAGCATGGCATCGGTTTTGTTTGTCAAAAGCTTGCAGCGCTGCTGGTTTTTGCAATGCAGAAAGTGGATGGAAATACAGGCCAAGCACGTGCGCTTGACCAAAGGAAAAGAGCACCATTTCGTTTGGGGTGTCAACTTGTTTGTGAAGCCTCCTGAGAAACCCAATGCCCACTGACGTTGGTAACTGTTCCGAAGCACAGTCCCCTGAAATACAGTTTGAGCAGGACAACCCTGGAGTTGCTGCATCACTAGACCAACAAGCCGAGTTGGCACTAGTCCAAGGTTGCACCTAATTAGGCCGCCCCCCACAACTATGCAGAACAACGTTTTTACATGTTTTTACGCATGTATACAGCATGTTTGGGCATGATCTCAAAAGCAGCTACAGCATATATAGTTACAAGCAGAACTCCGGGCTTCAAGCGGAGAAACTTCAGGTGGCTTTGGCCAAGCGGCGGAACCGAAGAGCATGCTTGGAGCGCTTGCAGGGACACTTGCTTGGCCTGCAGAAGAAGATCGAGGCACAGAGGTGCGAAGATCGAAGAGATGGGGAGGTTTTGTCACATGCATGTTTGGATATGTTTGGTTTGCATTATTTTGTATCCATAATGTTTGCAGCTTCGAAGATGCTGGCTTGATGCAAAGCAAGTTTTGCCTTTTGATGATGCTTCGACTTGAGGTTCTTGTGCCAGCTGCATGAGCCACTCGGCAAACAATACTGGACACTCTCCATGCTGAAAACCGTGGATCCCCAGGCGAAAGCTTGCCTTGCTGCCTCCGGCTTTGGTGCGGCTGGCGCTCAAGGCCTGAACCTCACAGGCCGCGTTCCGCGTTCCTTCGAACATCGATCCCAGGCAGCATTTTTGCGGAAGAAGCTGGCAAAGCAACGAGAAGAACATGCGGCCACGATCATTCAGGCACAACTGACTCCAAAGGGCTCACAACCATTCTGCTTTCTTCCAAGGCACGAGCTCGTGGAGGCTTTCACCGCAGCCAGGTTAAGGAGGCCGAGTACAGATCTTTCGGTTTAGTCATTTTGGTCCTTTGGCCAAGAGCCGCTCTTGCCAAGATTCCGCAGCGTCCAGGTGCAGAAGCAGAGGGCCATCAAGAGGATTTTCTGTGCCACCTGGCCTGCCACGTTGATTGTCCAACCGGAGTCATGCTCTTGTGCAGACACTGGTGATAATCAGTTTGGCAGGGTTGACAACCAGAATCTACATGTTGCCCGCCATTGTCTCAGGTTTGTCGTCGCTTTGCCGAACAACAACAGCTAGCTCTTTGGCAGTCTTTGGTGTGGAGATGTGTGGAGTTTCACATCAGTTCATTTTTTAAAAAAAAACACATTGTCAACAGCCCCAAGGACTTGGACCGGCAAAAAATCACGTATGATCTATTATACAATATATATATATGTGTGTGTGTGTATACTTTGCACCGCGAGCACAACTAAGAGTGTGCCAAGACAGGTGGCGCGACAGCAGCAGAAGGTCTTTGATGATGCGCTGGAGCTTTGGCAATCTGTACTGGAGACCTTCAAGTGACATGGCTAACATATACATTTACATATGTAGTTTGTTTGCCGATGGCCCAACGGTTTCCAAGAATGACACAGAAGCTCTTTGACGCTCTTGGTGTCTCCTTTCCCTGCTCTCGCGTGCCCAGGGAAAGGTCCCAGTTTGCACCCGATTTGTGGCTTGGCTTGGGTGATAGGTTTGTAAGGTGTTTCAGGTTTGCCGCGTGATTCTTCGTTTATTTGGATACTGGCTATGGTTTTGGATAACATGTCGAGATTGCCATGCCATGTGTCACTGTATCATGTTGCCACATCCTTGTCTCCAATGCATCGGCATATCAGGCTCTACAACCGCGCAAGCTTGAAGATCGCTTCGATGTGGCGTGGTGTAAAGGGGCGACAGGAAATGCGAAGGAGAAGGCTGGTTGCGATGGTCATGGGGATGCTAGTTGCAAGGTATTTTTGGAAATATCACGCCAAGCCCTTCAGGTTGGAGAGGTCTGCTCAGAAAGCCTGTGACTGCTTGAGGCCATGGGTTTTCGGTGGTCGGACGTTTCTTCCCGCTCCTTTCCGAATGTTGGAATTAGTTGCATTTTGCAGGGCATGCTGTTGTGAAGCATGATTTGTTATGCTTTTGTCCCTTGAGGGGCTTCCTGCAGTGCTACAACGCGCGAGAGATGCTGCAAGTGCGACGAGCAGAGTCGAACAGATCAGACAACAGGCGCAGCATCACGGAGTGTGATGCAGCTTCTATCGCTTGGCACTGTTCTTCCAGCATAATTAGCATGGGAGAGATCATAAAGGTTTAGAGGGGCGTGGAACAAGTCCACATGTAGATCGTCCCTTGGTCTTGACCGAATGGTGCCTTTGAGCAATGGCAGGCTGTTGCTTTGCGCTTCCCTGCGCACGCTCAAAATCCGCATGTTTTTCAGGCACAAGGCAGACGCCTGATTCTGAATTCTTGAATTCTTGTCACTTTGCTTTTTTCCAGCAGTGCTTCGGAAGGTTGAGGAAGCAAGGAAGCAAGCTGCCATGGAGGCCTGCTGTTGCCTCCAAACTGGTGCACGGCAAGCATTGATGCCGGCCTTTCTTGCTTTGGACAGGTCCTGTCGCGATATGTCAAGGGCATTTACTTGCGGACTGGCCGGGTTTTTGATTGGGAGGCCTGAAAGTTGGACACGCCAAGAAAATCGTGTGATTGTCGTGATACGCCGGGACAAATTCTTGACTGCGAGGCGTACTCCAGAAGAACTGGACGCCGCATCACCGATGACATCCGTCGCAAGATGCTGCACCTCGCCTCAATTCTGGTTGGTGAGTGTAACTGCACAGAGTAATTATATAGAACTGTTTGGACTGAACGCCTATCATTAGCTTTGTTGCAGGGATGACAGGGAAGAGGCTCGGCAGGGAGGCTGACCATTCCAGCCAATCATGTTATGTGATTCGCGTTGAGCAATGCAACTACCCTGAGTTTAGTCTGTGTAAACTCTTTTGAATCATGTCCTTTGTGAGGCATTTCTAAAAAGTGCAATGCCTGTAGAAAGCAATGAGCTGGGATTTATAGTATTATTGAACTGTCGTACATCGTGCATGGATTGATCTTTCTTGCATTATTCTATTTCTACATGGACATGCTTCAGGAACAGGATTTGGTTGAAGTTGAACATGGCACTTGGTCCGTGAGCCTTGAAAGCCAGGTCGAGCTGGTGCAACGAGTGCGTGCACACACAAAGCGTGTCCGGATTGCTGCCAGACTGCATCTGGACCACGTGAATGGAGGGAACGCCTGTTTGGGACACGTGCGTTTGCCCAAGGAGATCGAAGACGAGAGGCAACAGGTGGGCCTCAGATTTGCTTTGCTGACATGTTTTGCAAATACAATTGGTTTGTGTCACTTGTGGGGATGTTAAATTGTTTTACTGGGCTCAGTATTGTACTCTTCGGGGTTTTGCGTTGCTGCATTTCACCATGCTGTCAGTAATTACGAACAGGTCAGATGCGTGCACCCACATGTCTTGGCCATATATAGTGTAACAATGTGTAACATGTACACGCTTTTTTAAACGCACCCATGGAACTTCTTGACTTTAACAGACATTCCAGAATAGTTTTAAGAATTGGTCGACCTGGGGGCCCAATGAGACCCGCGAAATATGGCGAGTCCTTTTTGCCTCGCAGATCTGCAACATGGCCGCCTTGCAGCTCCAACGGAGTTGGCGGGCACGTCAGGCGTTTCGCTCGGTGATGCCCGTTGATACCAGCAAGACTCAGGGACATTGCACAAGATTTCGCGAAGTTCACAACTCCATAGACGGGGGATAGCTGCTTTCAAGTAATCGCCACATCAGGCCAGGCTGCAGCAGCTGCTTCCGCGGCTCGCAGCTCGTTTGGGTGCCGAGCGGCATCTCCTCATCGAGATGCAGCGCCAGGAGATCCAAGGTGCCCTCGCAGCATGCGCCGCATCCTGTCAGTTTGTCAGTCAGTGTGTGTGTGTGTGTCACCAGAACACTGAGGCCTTTAGAGTCACAGCTGTGAAAAGCTGGAATAGGCAGCAACAGACTGTATCCAACTGGTCAGGGTCCAAGCTCTCATAACACCAGTGTGAGATTGTTTGAATGTTTCAAGCTACCTAAGCTTGGGGCCAAGCCAAAATTCATAGGACCTTCTGTCAAAGAAGGAGCACCAGCAACGACTTTTGCGAAGGAAATGCAGACCAAGAACACTAGCTAGCCCCTTTGCAAAAAGAGAGTTTGGGAGCTGGGACCCTGCCGCCAAAAGGTGCAAGCCAGTTACACCCGTCCTCATCAAAGAACACACTGCATAGAGACTGCATTCCCGTGGCTGTGTTTTGGAGGGATGTTCACGGTCACACAACTTTCTGAAAACAATGCCAAAGTATTGGGCTACTTACGGATGGCTAGCTGCGCAATCCCACATTGCGACAGGCTCCAGCTTTGGTGGCCAGTGTGGCTTGCGGCCCATCCATGTCATGACCTGAGACGAAACCCAAAGCCACCAGCTCGGACTCGCCGGCTGGGCAGGCGCAGATCATGACGGCACGACCAAAGCCTCCTCGCGGTTGGCTTGCCAGCATGGCAGAGGTGCAGAAAGAACCCTTTCCCCAACAAAGTAGGAAAGCAAGAGACGAGTTACACTAACTAGTAACTAGTTTGGAGCTGATGTTGCGGAGATCAAGATTTATATACTTGTGTATGTGGTCCGTGGTCCTTCTTTGTCATTCCAAATATGGTACGCCTCACCCTAGATTAGGGCATTCTTGCGATCCAACCTTGGCAGGTGCCAGAGAGCATTGTGGATGTGGCCGTGTGCCCAACATCTCACATCAGACATGTGATGTGTCATTTCTCCAACATGGAAGGGTTGCCCCCAGGATGCCGCTGATTCCTTTGCAGTTGTCGTCGGACAGAGCGGCACTGCATACTGCTTGTGCGGTGCTGAGCGAGTCAGAGGCCGTGAGGCCGCAAACCTGTGTCACCTGCCAGGCCCAGTCATGGAGACTGTGACTTCATCGGCTCGCCAGAGCCGTTGACCCTCTCGGGCCCTTTTGCACCTTGGAGTTAGTTTAACGGAAAGTTGGTTTCGGACCCACAGGTGAAGAAAAGTTGAATCAGATTCACAATTCATTCACAATGTTGGCGATGTTGGGTTCGATTCAGGTCCTCCAGCATCAGCGAGTCTTGTCACAGACCCCGAAGGTGCGTTGGCACGGGTGCTGTGCCCAGGGCTCTAAGTGAAGTCGCTGTTGAGGTGCTCGAAGTGTCCTGTGGCTTGCACCACGCTTTGCTCCTTGCGGAGGGTGGCCTGTGCTTCGCCTGGGGCCGGCACCTTTAGAAGTGAGAAAGTAGCGCACCCATTCACAACAAAGACCTTGAGGTTTAAACGACTGCGGCCAATGCGGTGTGGGTTGGCCTCGGCCAATGTCACCACAGCAGGCTGGCAGCTTCCCATTTCATGAATCCTATTGTAGATACGTATCTCATCTTTGTACTGCACAGATTTGCACAGTATAGACCAAAACATGCTGGCTGAGCAGGTCGTGGCTCAAGCCACGTGCCTGCAGCATTGGGCCGCACATTACTCGGTGCCGTGGATGGATCAGCATGAAGAAACGCAGAACGCTCATCACCAGTTGCAAGTATCAAAAATACCAGGCCAGTATGGAAGAGATGCGCACGGCCGGCCTATTGGAACCGCAGAAAGGCGGCATCACTGGCTGTGCTTGTGAAGTTCGAAGGATGTTTTTTCAGATTGTTTCTGCTTTTCAAGAATGCTTCGCAGCGAACGCAGGTGATTCCTTGGCGTTTGCGTGCACTTCGGGTGCTGTTTTGCCACGATTGAAAACCCTGTGTGCCGGACCCATGTGCAGCTTGGCACTGGATACGGAGGCCTGGGCTGACTGTGGTTCTTGTTGGTGTTCAGACGTCTTCAGTCTGACTCATGGATGTGATATATCGATATATATATAAATACAAAATAATATGTATATATATATAATTTTATGTGTGTGTGATGATTATGTTTACTGACTGACTGACTGACTGATGCAGCATACCTTTTTTGGTAGCTAGACTGCAATAATGCCACTGCTTTGTATTGCGCGCTCGCAAGAACTAAAACTGCACACTCGATGTGAGTCAATTCCAAAACCCCATCCACATATGCATAGTGTGCAGAAAGCTTCGGGTGACAACTTGACCTGTCGCAGGCCCAGCTTTGGGCTTGGGGAGCTTCCAGTGACCTCGGCCTGTCATGATGCAGCCTGAGTGGTTCTGACTACGAATTTGATGAAGACGTCGGTCCGACGGTCGTGGTCTTTTGCCCTTAGACTCGAGGCCTCATGCCACAGACTGCCCCGCGCGCCCCACCATCAAGAGGCACGCTTCGTGCCACATCTGGAGGGTGTGGAGGCTCAGTATGCTCAGTTATTTTTTGGAGGGCAATGGGCTGTTTAAGCATCCATCACGTAGCGGTGCCTCGCTCCCTGAGGCGGAAGGTGCTGACAGCTTGCAAAGGGCTAAGCCTTAAGCTACTCGTGGTGCTTTGACGAGTGACAGTTTCCTTGGCCTCTTTGCGCCCAGTTGCGGTACCTGACATCACCAGCCAAGGTCCATTCTTGTTCTTTCAGCTCATCAAGCCCAAAACGGCAGACAGTTCCCCCTCAGCTTCCAGCGAGCTGCTTTACTAAACAGCTTGCAAGTTAGCACTGGGCTCCGCAACAACAGTTGGCGCGTTGGACACTGCTCCATCAAACGTTTCTTGTAATGAGGTCGACAAACATGGGAAACATGCTTGGTGGGTCATGATGCCTACTTTTTATGGCGAAGCTGTTTCTTGCTAGACACCTTCCTGGATCCCGGAGCGTACCATTCGGCTGCATTGGGCCGTTGCCCTTCAGCCGAGGCCTTCACAGGATGCCAAGCCTCGTCCACGCAACCCAGCAGCACACGGGACCCCACGCGAACGTCCGAGTCGAGTGGGAGATGATCTACAGAGGCAACTTCAAGATGGAAAACATTGGAAAACAACGCAAGAGGAACCATGAAGACTGTGGAAATTCCATGTGGACGATGGTTGTGTTGGGCCCAAAAAGAGCAGATTTGGATTGAACTCGGCAGACCAATCCAATGGGCGTGGCTCCTGGACTCGCCGAGGTTTAGATGCGCAGCTCCTGGAGGACTTGGACCTGAAGGAGCTTCCTGGTGATGTGCCACTGGTCATCACTGGTCCATGAAAGAGGACTTACAGCATTATATTCCATGAGAATGTTACGATGGACATTCAGGCTTTTGAGAGAATGATGCAATTTGGGACAACCGGCCATACCAGCCTGTGCCTTCATTTCACTAATTTCTCGGGCCCGGCCTTCCAGAGATCATAGCCTCAATTCGATCGTAGTAGACAAGTCACTTGTTTCTGACTATGCGGACCAGGGCCTGGGCTTTCAAGTATATAGTTGTAGTGGATGCAGCATTGCAGAGTTCATATTTCCTGTGTTATCAGAGCTTTGGAGAGCTTTGGGATGGAATGGAAGGTGCAGGGTCAGGTCTTGGTGGAACTCATCCGAGGCTAGCGCCGACGTTGGCTTGCAATGTGACCCTTCTTGGGGAGGGAGCCTTGCTTGCATGGAACTGAAACCTTGCCGAGAAGTCAGTGAAACATGATGAAAGAGGACACAGTTTGGCTTTCACAGGTGTCCCACCTTCTTCCGCACAAACGGACACCGTTTTGCTCTACAAGGGTGGGCAGCCCCTTGCGATATTGGCTCCAGCTTGGGGTGCAGGCACAAATATGATTTCTGTGTGCTTGCAATTGGAACAAGAAGCTACTAGGGGCTCCTGGCCTTACTACTAGGAGCAAGGGCGCTACTAGGAGCAAAGGGCATTGCTACTAGGAGCAAGAACGCTACTAGGGGCTCAATTGGAGTCGATTTGTTGGCTGGTGATCTCTCGTGCTGGACTTCTCGTGACTCGTAAGGTGCTGCGCGGTCAGAGAACATGTGCCCGTGGTTGCATGAGACTTGCTGCCACTTGCACGTGTTCTGCAAGACGGAACAAGCTTGCGAGTTGCAAGAGTAAGAGAGAGAGAGAGAGATCAGATAGAGTGTGTGGAAAAGAAAGGGCATGCGGCATTCCTATGAAACATGAAGCCTTATCTAGACGATGTGCAAACGCTAACGTGGCAATTGCATCAAAAAGAGCTAGCGTGGTTGCACGCGTGAACAAATGTAAAGAAATTGCACGATTGAGGTTTGCATCAATTGCCTGTGGTCGGGTGAACTTTGCGGTGACTGGTCGCGGGGCTGTGCACAGCTGGGGAGCAAACCAGGCAGTGCGTTTTGCCGTCCGTCCGGGGTTAGGTCGTACTCACCATTTTCGTGCATACATGTCATGTTTTTTAAGAGCCGCCAAGCACCCGGTGACATGTCTTTGTCGCAAGGATCTTTTGCTTGCACGATCCGGTGGTGCACCACCATCACCTGTGCCCACCTTTTCACGTCTTGCCGCCCATGTCACCAGCATCAGCGTGGGCGCGGTCTCCTGGAAACGTTCTGTCTGTGCCGTTCCGCCCGCGTCAGCTCGCTGCGTTCAGCCCCCAGGTTCCGATCACGCCGTCGCCCTTACGGCTCATGGCCGGGTCTTTACTTGGGGGCAGCGCCTTGGTTGGAGTGGTGCCAATAGCCTAACACTTGGATCCCTGTCGCCCAGCACCAGGTTGGAGGCCTGCACCAGCTTCGGGCTGAGATGTGACCGATCCAAAGTCGGTTGACACTGCAACGTTTGCACATAACATCACATAACCATTTGTACTTTTGAAAGTTATTGCTGTTATTACTCGTTGAGGCACTGAAAGATTTCAGCGGCGCAAGGTTGCACAACCACTCGTCGTGGCAGGGGCTTTGCTGGGCTTGAAAGTCAGCAAGGTGCGTAAAGCTGTGGAGCTCAACAGTCGCCGAAGAAGCAGCAAAGGACTTTTGCATGGTCTTTGTTCAGGTTCTGGCTGGGCGAATTTCGAGCATTGTTGCCATCCAAGATGCCATGGGCTCAGATAGCGAAAGGTAATGGAGGTTCAATCAAGTTGAAAGCAAAGGCTGACACGCTGCTGGGCTGGGATATGATGGAGCTTATGACGATTCAAGGGAATCTTGGCTATCGAACATGCCATTGTCTATCATTTTCCTGCATTGTCGTTCCTTGTGTAACTATGTTCAAGGAAAGGCCAGGTGGACCCAGCGATCTACGAATTCACTGCTGCCTATCATGAACAACCTGTGCAAGGATGGCACACATGCGCGCGCGCTGGCTGTGCGCGTGTGTGATTACATATGCAGATGGGGCCACAGCAGGAGAGTCTCGCTGAGTTAATATGGAACAATCAACCTGTTCGGTTTAGGTGTGAAGGATAGAGGCTGCTTTGACGATGGCGTGTGGAGGTCTCACACCTATGTCTCCGAAGATGTCGCTGAAGACATCACCCACAAGCAGATCGAAGCTTGATTGATTGATTTTGCCTAGTTTGGGGATGTTTGGGAGACAGGTTGATGTGCGAATCGACCGGGTTCAACATGCAGGGAAGGGCATTGCCAAGAGCATAAATCAAAGAGCTGTGATTCCACATGTCATGCACATAATTAAGTCAAGTCATTGGTAAATGCTTATTAAATTAGCATTTCCTGGCTCAGGATTGCTGAAAAAGTCTGCACCCCATCAACCAGGAGGGCCGGGCAGGGACGGTGGACGCTTTGGCGCATTGCATGTGACCTGCCTTGTAGGTCACCCACCTCTCCAAGCAAAAGCCCTGCAGCATCCCCATCCAAAGTTTCTTGGTTGTATCGCTAGTGGATTGGTGGATCGACAGGCTTCGAGAAGGTTCAAGAGGGTCCCAGGTGAGGGGGAAAGTGCTCACGTTTGAATCATTTGAACAATGAAATTGACACAATGCCGCAGAAAGTTCGGATTGCTCCCAAGGCTTTGCCTGGGAAAGTGCAGAGGACCATGCAGAAGAACGGTCGAGAGGAAGTCATCAATTTCGGCCTGTGAAGGACGAAACAAGACACCAGCCGCAGGGTGTGCATTTGCCATTCACACACGATGGGGACTTATTCACAGGATTGCTTCACACATTCCTTTGCAGCACTTGAAGCTGGAAAAGACATGGAGTTGCATTCGTTCTCAATTCACAAAGGCTGCAGCTCATCTTGGATGATCCAACAACCTCCAGATCTGGCACACCCTTCTCGCGCCCTGAGCTTTTTGCCTGGGCAGCGCAGCAGGCAGCTTCAGTGCCTCGTCAGCCACGTAGGTTGCTGCTTGGGCAGGTTCGTTGTGTTCTTATGACCCTAGGGTAGCATCCTAGAGTGGAGATTGGAATTCCGCCTGAGGTCAACTTCTTGCGAAATTAGCTAAGCTGCAAGATCAAGTCAATGTATGTTTACTCTTTTGATCTTTCTTGTAGTGTGGTATCACCCTTCAGCAACTCCAGCTGTCAAAGAGGACATTCAGCATGTGGGAATAACAGAACAGAATCACGAATCTCGTGTGTTATCCATCCAACTAACCGCATCGCCGACAGGAAGAAGAAATGGTTTAGGGGGCAGATTTCCCATGATTTCCCCATCACAAGCTTGAACCAGCTTGCTCAGGCTCACAGTCGAAAAGATGAGGAGGAGGAACTCATCAAGCAGCACTCCCTTCAAGAGATGGCTGCGGCGACCTGGAGCAAATTTGAGACATGCGAGCACTGCTGAAAGGGTCAATGAGCAGGTTTGCAACACACAATAACACACATGTTTAGATTGCTTGCTTGTTCGTACTTGTTCACTGTGATGTTTCAGGAGCGACTTGCGATCAAGCGCATGAGCAACTTTGCGGTGGTGAAGGCCGGGTTTGCGTGTGGTTCCACCAGTTATTCCACCCATTTCGGCAAAGCAAATGCCTGTGCGTTGAGAAGTTGTCCCAAAAAACCTGAAGAATTTCTATTGAGTTTCTGATTAGTGTTGCTGTTGATGGAAGGAGGTCGCATGATATCAGATTGACAGCGCAAAACCCAAGCACATGCATCATGCATGTATATAGATGTATATGGTCGTGCATATACGTATAGATAGATAGATAGATAGAATTAGATAGATAGATAGATAGAATTAGATAGATAGATAGAATTAGATAGATAGAATTAGATAGATAGAATTAGATAGTAGATAGATAGATAGATAGAATTAAATAGACAATTATAGACATGATTATACATGCAAGTGCCTAGCTTAGAATGTCTCGCAGGAGGTGGCCAAGCCTCGTGATCTCTTAGAGCTGGACCGTGAGATTGGGAGATACCGAAGGTTGGCCAATCCTCCCATCGAGTTACGCGGACCGTGAACACCGAGCGGATCCGGGTGGATCCAAGCGGATCCCGGTTCCCTCAAGAGTGGGGTGCTGTGAACACTTCCACCTGTTTGTCCAAGGTTCGCAGGAATTTCTTCAAGTGAAAAGTGGACATTCTATAACATTCTAGAAGGTTCTAGTGACCAAATTCATGACTGCAACCTTGGGTGGGCAAGCTTTTAAGACTCACGCAAGCCAACAAGGTCGATGCTCAAGCGTTTAGGGGCGTGCTTCCAAAGTTGACGTGCCCTGGAGCTCGCTATGCCAAAAGTGGAACCAATCGTCTGCCTGGCCGTCAGGCTGTGATTCCCCCGTTGCTCTCTCGTTCGTTTGTTTGCCAAGTAAGGAGTGTAAAGAGGTGTGTCATGGCCGTGGAATTGGTGATGTAAAACGACGAAACCACTTCGATAGCAATACCGGTCGTGCGGAGGTTTTGCCGCGAAGGAGTTAGGGCAGGTTTGAGAGTGGTTTTGACACATAATGTTCTTCTGAAACGAAGCCACACCAGCCAGATTTTACAAGGACTTCATGCGAAGCTGTGATTAAAACATGGCCTAATAACGAGCCGGTCATGAATGAACCACAAAGACTGGCAGCCCAAGCAGCACTCCAGATGTCCTATCAAAAAAAGTTTCCATGCCGCCTATATATGGCATCGACACGCATTTTGCTCAATGACAAATACGGTGAGAATCACACACCGTGCCATTCTACTTGCTCATATTTATTTTGCTTTCAGAATGTCATTGTGTGGACTGCATCCAGTCCCAAAACCAGACACCACAATTGAGACAACTCCGGTGGGTCTCCGCTGAAAGCTTCAATGGGTATATGTGCCCATTTACTCACGGCAAGTTTGATTGCAGTAGCTGCAGCGTTCAACTCACATTCAACTGGAACAGAACCTCGACACCTTTGTCACCGACCTTGTGTCAGTCTGGGATAGGCGAAACCAAATCTGGCAGTTGTAGCACACAGAAGGTTGGAACAAGGTTTCAAACAAGGGATCAGCTAGAGGGAGGGGAGTGCTTTTGGAAAGGTCAGAGTCCTGAGTGAAGGATGCCCTGCCTTTTTTAGATGTGGCTCAACGAGTGAGAGTGTTTGGCCATTTTACGATTTACCGCTCCAGTGCATGGCATCATGCTGTTGCACTGTGTCCATGTTTTAGTACTGTGCTTGCAGCTGGGTGCTGCAACGGATGCGACGTGTCGCCAATGTGAAGAAAGGCCGAAGGCTCCAAGCCTTTTGTCCTTGAAGTCCGAAGTCGCGATGAGGTCAGTGCAAACCTCTGAGGGAATGATAGGCGATGTCATTGCAGACTTCGCCAGCGACACAAGCGACAACAACACCAATGCTTCATGGGAGAAAGTAAATCAAAGCCTCCAAGATTTGGCCTCTTGGAGGCACTTACACGGGGGTCGATGCCAGCCTTCACGCACTTATGGCGCCTTCACGCACTCAGGGTGGCGGTTTGCAAGCATACCTTGAAACATCTGGAAACATCGCAACCTCTGTGATGATTGTAGTGCAATCACATCTGGACATTGTTCTGTTTCTTTTTTGTTGGGGTTCCTTCTGGTGCAAGCAGCCAGTCAATAGCTTAAAAGATCTTAAAAGTTATTAAAGGTTAAAAGCGCCCAGGTGGTCAACGTCATGGCAGCGGATGTAAACCAAACCATGGGTGTTCCAAATCCTGAAGGCGGGTGGCCGAGGGTGATTTGTTCATGTGTGTTCAATGTTTCTGGTAAATTTGCAATGTATTATCAAAGGAAGTTTAGTGTACGAAACTTCAACACGGACATTCAAGAACTGTTCATACACCACTCATCAATACACCACTCATCAATACACCACTCATCATACACCACTCATCATACACCACTCATCATACACCACTCATCCATACACCACTCATCAATACACCACTCATCAATACACCACTCATCATACACCACTCATCAATACACCACTCATCAATACACCACTCATCATACACCACTCATCATACACCACTCATCATACACCACTCATCATACACCACTCATCATACACCACTCATCATACACCACTCATCAGACACCACTCATCATACACCACTCAGCGGACACCACTCATCATACACCACTTGTCATACACCACTCATCATACTCATCATACACCACTCATCATACAGTTAGCTCTAGTTTCAAGAGCTCTAGCTCCAGTTAGCTCTAGTTGCAAGAGCTCTAGCTGCAAGAGCTCTAGCTCCAGGTAGCTCTAGTTTCAATAGCTCTAGCTCCAGGTAGCTCTAGTTTCAAGAGCTCCAGCTCCAGCTAGCTCTAGGTTCAATAGCTCTAGCTCCAGTTTACGTGGCAGGCGCAGCACTTTGTGAACCTCCAAGTGCAGATTTCGTGGCAGGCACAGCACTTTGTGAATCTCCATGTGCAGAGTTCGTGCAGGCACAGCACTTTGTGAACCTCGAGGTGCAGATTTCGTGGCGGGCGCAATACAAAATGCGTTTTCGAGAGGTAGCGGACGCACGAAATGCTGTGTTTTTCAACAGATAGGGTGGCTCCGAAGCTTGCAAGTCTAGTTTTGCGGAACGCTGTGTGCGAGACGGTCTCGGGTCATTCTCAGATCATGCTCGGAATCGCCCCTCCATTGTGATTAGAGGCTTCAGTTGTTTCTTGAATTGCAGATTTCGTGGCAGGCACAGCACTTTGTGCAGATTTCGTGGCAGGCACAGCACTTTGTGAACCTCCATGTGC